TGATGGTGGCACCGGCCAGCACGTGGGGCTTCTACCTTCCCTCCCTCTTTCCCTCAGCTTATGGAGGAGCCACTCTACGACACCCTCCGCACCAAGGAGCAGCTAGGGTACTCGGTTTCCTGCGGGCTCCGGATGACCAACGGCATTCTGGGCCTGGCCGTTAAAATCCAGTCTGAGCGTTACGAGCCCGAGCATTTGCACGCACGTCTGGAGGTGTTTTTACAGAGCTTTCACGCCAGCATGTCCACCCTCCCTCCCTCCGTGTACGCCCGTCAACTGGTGGCTTTGGCTCAGAACAAGCTGCAGCGAGACGCGTCTTTGAACGAGGAAGCAGGCAGGTACTGGGCGGAGATTGTGGATCGGCGCTTCCAGTTCGACGTGGGCCCTTGGGAAGCTCGGCGGCTCTTGAGCGTGAGCCTGGCGCAGGTTTTGGCACTCTTTGAGGAAAGCGTAGGGGTGAACGCGGAGAAAGCGCGGCATGCGGCGGTGTATGTGACGGGGCGGGCGTGCCGGTCTCGGAGGGGTGGAAGGGGAGGGCGAGAAAAGGAAGGCTTCGCACGGTCGGGCAAAGCAACGGAGGGCGAGGGCGGGAAAGAAGCGATGGAAGGGACCCAGACGCCCACACAGGCACCGGCAGAGACGCCTTTGTCGGATGGAAGCGTGGTAAAGCCTGAAAAGAAGCTCGGCCCTCTCCTGTTGAGTGCCAAAGTCCGAAGCTTGGCGCGAATCTCTGAGCGCATGGGTGGCCCGGTGGCCGTGGATGCGCCCAATGGAGGAGGACATGGAAGGGAGGGAGGAACGGAACCCGAGTTCTACCCAAATTTGACCTGAAAAGAGCTTCATTTCGACAAAGTATCCTCCGCGATTGGAAAGAAATGCATCTTGAGAAGGTGTGTGGGCCACGCGCAAAGCCAAGCCAAGGCTGCCCCAGGACGGACTTTCCCGCGGACCGCACCGGGACGAGGCCACCGGGCGTCACTTATACCCTGATACCAACCCCTTGACCCGATCAACGTGGGACGCTCGGCCTTTTTTGCTTTTGCTTTACCTTCCCCCCTGCGTGCACTTTCTCACGCTGTCCTCTTCCCAGTCACACCCGCGTCGGCGCACCTTTTCGCCCGGAGCGGAGGAAATATCGACTCAACTCACAACCTTGGGCATACTTTCCGTATAATATGCACAGTCTGCCCTAAGCCCCAGGGAAGGACCCAGGCCCCTGCCCTCCCCACCTTTCCTGCCTCCTCCATACACACATCATCTACAGTTCCCAATATCTCCTCCCTCTTTCCACCCCCACCCCTTTCCTCCCTCCCCCACACCACCCAATGCC